TTCCTCAGGGCCGCATGGGAAATGTGAATGACATTGCTGCTGTATTCTTGTTCTTGGTCGGCAAGAGCGGTACCTATGTCAATGGTACTTCACAGCTCACTGACGGTGGTCGCATTGCGGTGTTCCCAAGTGTGTATTGAGGTTATGTGCATGAGCTATACAAAGCATTACAAAGTTGATTTTATTGTACATCTAGTTAGCCTTCTGCTATAGACGTAAAGACCCGACTGGATGATTAAAGTAGTATGAAAAGGAGTATGTAGTGCAAGTCTACCTGGGCGCTATTCCAAGTAGACAAATATTCATACAATCGAACTCGATGCTAAAATCGGCACATACAGTTCTAGTCCCCATAACTAATGTCTTAATATCTGTTTTCGGCAAAACGCAAAGGCAGGTGACTTCGCGACGCGATCCATCTGTGACGGATAGTGACGTCATTGACCTTACCCTCCATAAAGGTCTTCGAATCTCAATACAAAAACCCCCCAGTAACACTACACTACATCTTAAATCGCCTACTCGAGCAACCAGAAACGAACTCTCAAACTCCATAACCCTATCCCAGAAAATACAAAATGTCATCAAATCAAAACCAACAACCCGGTCTCGTTGCTGGCCATGCGCAGTACGTCAAAGGCGCTGCTGAGGTATGTCTATCACACACATAATAAGAGAAATCTACTCACATGCTCTTCACAGGAGACCATCGGAAACGTTACTGGAAACCAGGCATGGAAGTCATCTGGCGTTCAAGACAAGGAGCAAGCTATTGATGCCATGAAGAACGCAAGCGAGCAAAGAGATACGAGCAATGGGCTTGGTGGCGTAGAGGAGAAGGCAGGAAATTTGGTGGGATGTGAGGGGATGCAGAAGGAGGGTGCTGCGTCGAAGAAACAGTAATGATATAATAATACGAAGAGTAATGACGAACGGCATTAGGTTTATAATACAAGACTCCCAAGCCCAGACAGTAACTGGCTCCTCAAAAATACATGGAATCCACTGTATGAAATCAATTCAAAGCTTCGGTTTTCCATGACCGAGGCGTGATGATGATGAACCTCTTACCCTCCAATTTGGACCATAAACCTTTTCTAAAAAGTCATGCTCCGGATGCAGTACAAATATGTCCATCATGGGTGTTGTCTCGATGTTGACAATCGAATTCTGCCATCCGTCGCAATCCACCCGATAATATGCTTTAACAAACTTTCCATTAACCCAATAGGTCTGTCTTGAGTGTCGAAGCCGCAGAACAACATTCTTCCAGCCTTCGTGAGTTTTCTGCTCACACATCAGGCCTATTGATAAGTAAGGAGAATCGGCGGACACGTGGGCCTGGTTCAGTATCCAGGCCAAAATATAGATGCCGAAATCCGTGATTGTACACGGCGCTAGCTGGTTAATGTTTCGGAAGCGCATTTTGGGTGTGTTGACAAAGTCGTCAGGCGATTGGGCAAGTAGACCGCTGCTAGTGTCCTGGCTGTGCCAAACAAAAATCGAGTCATCGAAAGATGTCCTTAAAATTTCCTTCTGTAGACGGGCAAACGCCTTCTGTAGCCCTTCACCGTACTGGATGGAGATGTTGATATCGAACAATCCCATGAGACTATAGGCCCTATCTTCTGGCCGAGTTGTTTGTCGACTTGACGCCCAAGACATACGTTCCGCAATGCAGCAGGCCCAGAGTTTATGAGAGTCCCGCAAAACAGATGCTTTGACTCCTGTGATCTTTGCGACTAACGTGAGCATATCCAGCTCACCATAAGGTCCGAAATACCAGTCTACAATCTCAGACCAATCCTTTGCGAAAAAGGAGCGGTTTTCCGATGCAATAAGTTCTTGTAAAGTCCATCCTCTTGTAAACCAGCGGGCATTTTTGAAGTCATTGAGCTTGACAGGTGCAGGTACATCCTCCAAGTACACGATGCAGATGTCCGCATCCCTGTACCATGCAAACATACTGCCAATTGCCTCGGAGAGCTCTGCACTGCTCCTTTTATCAATACAACACGAATCAACCCAGCCATAATCGAAACCGCGGCTCTTAGCTAGCTCACAAAATCGGCGAATCTTGCTGAATCCGGGTCTAGCCTTAATCTTTTCGTCGACTGGGTCATTGTGAATTTCGTGAAAGAGGACTTCTGATTCAAACCAGGTGTGTGAGAGGATGGCGTAAGCGGGCTTGGTCGAGCCAGAGAACTCTTTGAGATGAAGGGTCGTAGTATTGAGAAGCCACATGACAGGAATTGGAATCTATGATACTTGGTTTGCAAAGGGATGTCGCGAGACAGAAGGCTGCATTGCGAAGTTGGCGACACAGCTGAGATGATACATGTTCTTGTCGGTGGCTGTGCTGCCCCAATTGGGCGTGATGGCGTCCGTACTCACTTCATCTGTTTCGTGAATTAATCGCCAGTGTAGAATAGATAATTGTTCCTTAGAATGCACTTGTAATGGTTACAATGCCTGGCATATTCTTCCTCTCTATCGGGATAGTTTCCTCAGAACCGGCTACCTGGGTCGGTTAGTAACAAATAGATGAGAAATCCAACCTTATAGCCGCATCCACAATTTCTCCTCGTCACCGCCTTTACTTGCGCTCCGATAAAAAGCCGCTGAGCCTCACACAGAGTACGGTAAACCACATCTGTTTGCATGCATAATCGGCAGCCCCATAATGTGGTCTCTGAAAGATGGAGTCCAACCTAGGCAGGTCGACAAGGCCCGCTTCTTTTGGACGGCGGACCTCGGCAAAAAGCACGCCATTGCAGAGGGCAACGACACTCCTTACAAATCAACTGTAACGTGAAGAATAACAAACAAAATTTTGTCGTACAATTGCACTGTGTCAGCATTTATCTCCGTGCCATTTCCGATTCGATTTGGAATCCTGAGGCTCATATAAATACTCCTCGAGCCGTTTTGCATTGGTTCCTTATCGGTGAATTTGTCTCTCGGGCAGGTCAACATTCGACACATTCTACACAAGTACTATTTCGAGAGGATTTCGACTCTCAAGAACACTTCTATTCAAACATGCCTTCCCCTGATGTCAACCCTGGGGTCCCAGATATACCATACTTCACCCCGCAACATGTCACGAGCCCAGGTGTCCCGTTCGACACATCGAAATCGGTCCCCACGCTATTTACGCCTCTGAAAATCCGGGGTACGACTATCAAGAACCGCATCATTGTAGCACCCATGTGCCAATACTCGACTGCCGCATTTGGCCCCGAAACCGGCGCTTTGACAGACTACCATGTTGCAACCCTTGGCCACTACGCCCTCAAAGGCGCAGGAATGGTAATGGTCGAGGCTACAGGTGTTCAGGCGAACGGGCGTATCTCGCCAAACTGCCCGGGAATTTGGGACGATGCCCAAATCCCAGCCTTGAAGAGGATCAGCGATTTTATTAAGAGCCAGGGATCTATTTCTGCAATTCAGCTTGCCCATGCAGGTCGAAAAGCTAGCACCGCGCCTCCGTGGCTTACGTCCGGAGTTCCTGGCAAGAAAATTAGCATGCGATCGACCAAGGAGGCTGGCGGTTGGCCAGAAAACGTTGTTGGGCCGACTGAGGGCGATTCCTGGGATGGCAAGCCGTTGGATGACGAGTCTGGCGGTTTCTACCCACCAAGAGCGCTGAGCGAGCAAGATATCAAAGAGCTAGTTCAAGACTGGGCAAGTGCAGCACGCCGAGCTGTGAAAGCTGGTGTTGAGGTGATTGAGATTCACGGTGCCCACGGGTATCTCGTCAACCAGTTCCTATCCCCAGTTACGAATCGACGAACGGACAAGTACGGCGGATCATTCGAGAACCGCATAAGGCTTCTTGTTGAGATCATCCAAGCCGTCCGCTCCGCTATCCCAGAGACCATGCCTTTGTTCCTCCGAATCAGCTCTACAGAGTGGCTCGAGGAGACAGACATCGGCAAGCAGCTTGGGTCTTGGGACATTGAGTCCAGCATCAAGCTCGCCAAACTGCTCCCTGGTCTTGGAGTTGACCTCCTTGATGTTAGCAGCGGTGGAAACCACCTCCAGCAACGCATCAATATGTTCGACTCCAAGGACTATCAGACACGCATCGCTGCGCGCATTCGATCTGAGCTCAAATCCGAGAACCTCAATCTCCTCATCGGCGCCGTGGGTCTCATCACCGAAGCTGAGCAGGCCCGTGATATTGTCGAAGAAGGAGGTGCCGCTACCCGACTTAATGGAAACGGAAATGCTGAGATTGAGAAGGAGGCCAGAGCAGCTGTGCAGATGACGGATGCACAATCAGGCAAGGAGCCCCAGGCCGATGTTGTTCTTGTGGCCAGACAATTCATGAGAGAGCCCGAGTGGGTGTTGAGGATTGCGTGGAAGCTGGGCGTAGATGTTGCATGGCCTAGTCAGTTCTTGCGTGTGAGGTTTCCAAAGTTGTGATGATGATACCCCTGGTGGGCTTTAGAAGATAGAAAGGAATGTTTCTAGAATATATACCTACACGAAATATACAGTTTTTAAAGAGGACTCCAATATCAGCTCTATGAATCATGCATCGGTGAGAATTTCTGAATCGGTTTGTCAAAAGGAATCGAGTGAGGCCAACTATTCCTTAGTTCAATCAGTATCAAACGTTTTGAATAGCCTACATGTTATTTTATCTTGCGCAACTTGAAATGGAAGTCGTCCCTAGGGATCTTCTTTCCAAACAAAGCGAACCGGACTCTACTCATCAAGTGTTGAGGGTTGAAAGAGAAGATGAACTCAAAATTCAATGACTACACCTGACCATTCTCAGCGCACGCATTTACCTAAACATTTTATAACAAAATGCGAGAATGAGTGAATGTGTATTAAATAATCATCTATCCTCACCTCCAAAAAAGAAAAGCAAGACCAAAAAGTCCGATCGTCAACCAAGGACGTACTACACAATCCAATATTTCTCCCAAAGAGCAACCCCACCACCCCAAACAGCAAAAAAGACAAAAAAGAATAAAGTGACAATTTAGCTACTGCCAGTTTCGATCTGGCGCTGGTACCTTGTTAGTAAATTTGTAATGTCGTATATAAAGGGTGTTGACTCACTCCTCCGGGTTATGAGCCCGGCGCGCTTCCCCTGCGCCAAGTAGCTTTTTCAAATCGCTTCTTCGATGGGATTGATGGAAGTTTGGAAAATTAGCTTGCATATAATGTGACAAAAAATGACAGCGGGAAATGGTGGAGGGGGAATATTGAGGAGTGGGGGTGCTGGTGGGGATGCGGTAAGGGCTACAGAGAATTTTTCCAAGTTGTGGGCATTGATGACCCATATTTTGGTAAGTGGGGACGGTGATGACGGCTTGGCGGGGAGCGCTGGGGAGAGGCATGGGGGGGTTGCGCGAGATTGGTTGCGGATTTGATATGCAATAAAATCATTAAACTATTGAAGCATGCATAGCATTGGATAGAGTGTGTGAAAAATGAAATTACGGTTGTGGAGTTGGTACGGTTGACGGCACTCTGGATATCTACAGCAACAGGACTAGCGACGGAACACAATTACTCTACGGGAATCAAAACAACATGTGCAACGTATGAACGCCTGAACAAAATCCTTTCGCTCCAAAAACACCCACCAGAGTATGATGACTCTGCTACACACCCTTCGCTTCATACATGTGGCCACTCTTGCTCAGCACCGTGCCCAACCCGGTATGAATCTCGACTTGGAAAGGCTCAAATGGAACCTTTTCTCCATCAATTGATATGTAACCGTCGTTTTGGTTTTTTGGAATGATTCTGTACGCCGAAATCTTTTGGTAGTCTACGTGCGGTAAGTCGAAGAACTTGTGCTCAGAAATGGCCAGGAGTGTGTTGATCGCGGTATGGCGGTTGATATCACCGCGTATGCGGATGAGATCAATACATCCATCACCGGGCAAAGCCGCTGGGAAGAAGTTTGCATCTGGTGACATATATGCGAGATTCCCGGCATAGAAGTTTCCAAGTTTGTCGTGCGGGACTAGAGTCCATGATGAAGGTAGGGGATCATTCACGGTACCATACTTCAAGGATGGTAAACCTGTTCCTGTCCCTGGCAGAGGGCGGTCATCATGGCTTCGTGCTGGCTTGGATGATTCCGCACGATAAACTTGTCGTACGGCTTCCTTGTTGTCGTACTCGACTTTGAGGGCAATGTCAGCAGGATAGACGGTTTTCCGGAGGAGTCGGACAAGGAATCCCCAAGTGAATCGTGCACTTCCCATCCACCGCAGGTGTTCAGTTGCGAGATCCGTTTCAGCAACAATGCCAACGGCCTGAGAGAGAAACGACATAGTGCGACGGTCGCCTTGCGTGACTGACATGAGGTCCAATGGTGTTCGGAGACCTTTGACGACCGCCAATGCTGCGAGGCTCGGGCTTGCCGATCCATTGAAGTTGAGACTCATAGCATTCCCAGAACCGCAAGGAAGTTGAGCCAGAGCAATTTTGACGAGCGCCCGAGCAGCATCTTGCCTCTTGCTCAAACCATTCCATACTTCATGGGGAATTCCATCGCCGGAACAACATGCAACCACATCGTATGCCTCTATATCCAAGTTCTGCGCGATCTCAACAGCATGTCCGTTATGTGTAGTCTGTTCCACGTCGAGCTCGCATCGTGCTGCCGCAAAGATCGGTGCAATGTGTTTGCTGTATTGTTTGGTCGCATTGCCTTGTCCACCAAATGGATTTACAAGCACCTTGATGCGCTTCTGTCGCTGGGATGCACCGTATGCGCGACCTAGCAGCTTCTCAATCCATGCATGTGCCAATGTACTGTCTGACTTGTCCAGTTTATAACTAACAATAGCGGGTCGGACAACCTCTTTGGAGACGATGTGCGCGTATTGAATAGTGATGTGATCATCGTCGGAATGCTCAGCCCAAAGGATATTGAAGAATGGTATCGAACGCGTAGCCTTGTTGTCTGCACATTGTCAGCCTCGTACTCTGGCCATGCAGGCTCTCTGCAACCTACTGCTGCCGAAATTCACGCCGCAGCAACCCGCGCCTTTGCTATCCAGCAGCGCCTCGTCTATATAGTTTGTAAATGGGAATTCAACCTCACCAGTAACTCATACATACCTAACACGACCAGTGAATCGGTTCCTAGTGTCAAGGATGCCTCTCTCCCAACAGCAAGTGTATCTGACACGTTACTTGGCGCATGTTGAGGTTGCGGCGATTCGGCGCGAGCATTCGAGGGGTCTTTGAAGGGGTTGTCTTCCGCCATCGCTATGATAACACGACTGAAGGTGTCAGCATGTCGAAAGGAAAGGAGGGCAGCGAGATTGTAATAGCCAGGTTAGGTCAGTCACAGTAAGCTTCATGCGCACAGGGACGGATGTCGCGGGCGCAGTCAGAAGCTCCACAAAGATTGAAGGGACCACTTGGGACAGGCATGATGAGCCGAGGCTCCTGACGAATTAGGCAAACACCAACCTACATTCACAAAGTTGTCTATCCGTGACCGCTGGTGTGATAGTCAGGCCAGACTTGTGTTGTATTTCAATTGTTTTCAAGAACCCGTTAGATCTATCTGCAAGAGCCGTTTCTTTCTTTAGACATATCCCAATCCTACACTAACATCCTCCATGGCTATCATGAATTTTTCATACCCAGGTATCGCTAGTTCTCAAAATGCTCACATGCACACATACGCTGTCCTATCCTCGCCAATGTCTTTGCAATCACCCCAACCCTGCATTCATCCATTCTCAAGTCCGATTCGTATGGGTTTTCTCTTACATGACATGTACGTCAAGCCTCACACTTTGTTCAGCCCCTTCAACGAACCTAAACTCAGTGCTAGTCCTTGAGATCTACTTCGAATGCGCACAAAGCCCGTAATTGGACCATTGTCGCCCTCCTTCTCTATGCTTAGATTGGCAAGCGCATCCTCACCTGCTGGAATTAGTTATCGTTCAAGCTTGATGATTGGATTATCCTTACCGAACACGCTTCTAGCGTATAAGTTGGCAGACAAGAACTGGCAATCGCCCTTCATGGATGCTTCTGGTGTGAGACAGCTCATGTTGGTGGATGCCATGAGCTGTTTCAAGAACTCCCGCAGAGACTTGGCCTTCGAGTTGATATTGACCTTGTTTTCCCATTCAAATTCGGTCCACATCTGTCGGAATTGGGTCTCGGTGCACTGCGCTGGCTTAATGTAGTCCATGATATCTACGTGAACATCGTTAAGGATGACGACGTTCGAATCAATTCCCTTCTCGCCTTCGTAGATCACATTTCCAAAGATGACGCCAGTATCCGTTGATGACACTGTAGATGTAAGCGCATGTTCAATATACAAAATGGTTAGAAGTGGATGTACCTTTAATCGTTGTCTGCAGGTTGATAAAATCATGCGGTCCAACATTTTGGGTTGGAGGTCGTTCCACGACTTTGAGATCGCCAAGGGTCGCGAACTCTACAGTCAGATTCTGCAAAGTCTCCGTCGTCTGGTTGACCAAGAGCACATCTAGCACAATATCGAATTGGTGGACCTGGCATAGTTAGCATAGCTCTACAATAGCTGCCGATTCTTTCTTACCTTGACGTAGGCTTCAGCATACACAGGATCAGAGAATCCAGTAAGCTGAACCACGCGACTTAGTTTCGAGGTAAGATCTTCAGTTGCTGTGTCACCTCCAGTAGCCCTCTCGAGGTCCAGTTCAATCTCATCATTCCCATCCACATCCTTCTTCTTCAGTTGTCGGATATTGAAAGAGTCATCTACATTGACTGCTGACTTAGCCCTCTCCGATGCCTCCTTAGCTGCTCGCTTCTTCTCCTCTGCTTGGACCATTGTCCTAAACGATTTTCGTGTATCCTCAAGGAAAACAGACTCGAGTTCTTTTCTTTGTGCAAATTCAGATAGAGATCGAACACATGTCATGATACGATCAATAGAGTCTTCATCTATGAGATTCTTGACGAATTGGGACTGACCGACGCGGATGATGGAAATCATGATAAGCATTGCCTCGGCTCGGAGGGCATTAGTGCGCGCCTCGTCCTTGGAGATCTCCGAATGTCGCATGACAAGTTTAGTGAGTGTGCTAGATAGAGAAGTAGCAAGGTAATAATCGCCATCGAGGATGAGCTGCCTAAGGGGAGGTTTTTGAGAGTTTTTGACGGCTTCCAGTTTTGCCTTAGCTGCGGCAGAAGACGTAAGAGCGCTCTCTGTAGCATAGGTACCATCTGCAAGAACTTTCCGTGAGCCCGAGGGTGCCGCTGCTTTTGCGTGACCATTAGTCTGTTCAGGCTCTTTTCCTTCAGATGCCTCGTCCAGCAACCGTTGCTCGGAGGCAAGAATAGGGATTTCACCGAGCGATGACCGAATTCCTTTCCAGGCGTCTCGGATGTCCTTGGCTTCCAATGAGAACTCTCCAATAATCCAAAGGACACCACGGTACACCTTTCCAGCTCTTACTTCAGCCAAAGTGGTAACAAGACGTTCGACGATGGAAGCACGGAGATCTGGGAAGCGCTCGACGACCTCCTTTACGAAAGAGATAACATCCACGGCTGAGGCATTGCTACTAACATCGGAAATGAAATCCATGAGAGAGCCAACGACGCTTGCAGCAACCTCTGGAAATTTGATAGCAGACTGGTGAATGGCGGAGATCAGGAGGGATCGGTATTCGGGATTCTTCTCGTATTGTTCGTCGACCGTCTTCATCAACTCTTTCTTAAGGAGCAGGACAACTTCTTCAACGTTTCTGCTTGTGACCATTTCAAGAGCAATGTTAAGAGCCTTCTTCCGCACATCTAGATCGGTGCTCGAGAGAACACGGAGAACTTCCATTGTCAAGTCATCCAGGACACCCTCGTTCTTCTCCCTCAACTGATCAACACGTTCAAGAACGATCAGCTTGACGTTATTATCCGGCTCTTTGATGGCTAACTCAGTGAACTTGCCCGCGGCAGCTTTGACAGCAACGGGGTTGTTCGTTAGAGTAGTCAGTGCATGGGCCGCCTCATAAATAACCGTGGATACGGTAGATTCGAGGAGATCAAAGATCAATCGGAGATACTTGGCCTTGTTCTGCGAGTTGACGACGGCGTCACGACGAATGAATTCAAGTTCAGCTAGAAGAACAA